CTCTTACTACTTTCTTTTTTTTTCTTTTTTCTCACTTTATTTATTTCGTAAGTAGTTGAGGGGAGAGATAAGCACAGTTCCTTGGTGATCTTGCCTCTGTGGGTGTGTTTTCACTGCTGTCACTCCTTCCCTGTCTCTCTTCCCTCCTCTCCACAGGCTAGCAGCCATCTTTGGAAATGAATGCTAGGGGTGCCTGTGCTCCCACAGTTGCCTCCAGGGGGCATCTTGGGTTATGGGATGGTGTATGGTGGGGATGCTTGATCTTGTGGCATGACAATGTACAAAATGCAACCTCAGGGCTCCCCTCCTTGTGGAGAACCCTGGGTGAGAGGAAACTGCAAGTGGAGGGAAAATGTCTGGCCTAGAAAGCAGCTAGTGGTTGTGAAGGACAAACCTCAATTTGCACTGCCCTAAGCATGAGGGGCCTGTCACCTTTACCTAGGCGGGAGTTGGAGTGGGAGGCCAGGACCCTTCAAGGGCAGACTCACTAGCGTTTTTCCTCCTCAAGTTTGGGGGTAATTCCTTCTCAGCCAAAACACTTACGGATGGGAAGGTTGAACCTATCAGCATAGCCAAGGTAATGGGAACTGTGCGTGGAGTGGGCAGCAACCCTCAGCCATGTCCAAGTTCATCATCCACTCCTGATGGGAAAGCTAAGGCAATTTGAGCTAAGAGCCTTGCAAGTGCAGAGTCTGCCTGCTTTCCTTTTTATTTTTCTTACTATAGTAAAAGAAATTATAATATTTACTGTATTAAACATTTTTAAGTGTATAATTAAGTACATTAACTACATTTACAATGGTTGTTGTGCAACCATTCTTGCAACCCATTGTCAAACTTTTTCTCCATCTCACATAGAAACTTTATCATCTTAACTACCCCTTTCCATAGCTCCTGCAAACTCCCATTTAACTTTCTATCTTTGTGAATTCCGAGTACCTCAAGTAAGTGGAATCACATAGTAGTTGTCCTTTCATATCTGACTTACTAGCATGATGTCGTCAAGGTTCATCTATATTGTATCATGTACTGGAATGTATTCCTTTTTTAAGGCTAAACAATATTCCATTGTATGCACAGACCACATTGTTTATTCATTCATCTGCTGATGGATCCTTGGATGTTTCACCTTAGAATAGCCATCATAATGGGTATGTAGTGATATTTCAGTGTGTGTGTGTGTGTGTGTGAGAGACAGGGACATAGCACCCCCAACAGGGTTCTGACACTGTGATTAACCTCCAGACTTGGTCAGCATGGATTATGGGTACAAGAGTGCCCAGTGTACTTAGTGAAGTCTCCAGACTTGAACCAGAAACCTTTCCATGTGGGTCTACCCTGAAGAACATCACATTTTACTGCTGTACCTCACTGTGGTTTTGATCTGCATTTCTCTAATAACTTGCATTAAATCTATTACAAATCTAATGAAGATTTTTCCTCTATGTCGTTTCTAAGAAGTTTATCATTTTAACTCTTAAGTCTGTATCTTTGATTCAAGTTAATTCTTGTATATGGAGTAAGGTGATGGTCCAGCTTAATTTCTATGCACTTATATTCATTCACAAAACTGGATATGGTTGTTCTAGCATACTGTTCTTTCTTTATTGTGAAAAATAAGTTGAGGGGCCATCCCTGTGGCTTAGTAGTTAAGGGAGCCGAATCCCACCTAGCCAATCATGATTCTAAGCCTAGCCCCAACAGCTTGAAAAATATACAAGGCACATGTGTATGCATGCCCAAAGTGGAGGCGGAGGGATTGTGGCATGACATGCCCCACTGGAGTGTACTTTTTCCCTCTGCTGCTTCCTCTCTGTTTTCCTCTGGAGAGCACATGTGTTGTTTGGCAATTAGAAAAAAATCAATGTATCATATATATGACAGTCCAGCCTTCTTTCTATATATTGACCTTAACTCTTCTCTTCTTGCCACCAACAGCAATGTGATGCCCTTGAAAGGCTGACAGCTTTCCCCTGCACCTCTTAACTCGATTATCACTGCCTCCAGGCAGCAGCCCTCAAAAGCAGGTGCACCATTCAAAGGCAGCACAGATCAACATATTTCTTTATCTCTTCTCACACCTGTTCCCACTCCCAGTTCTCCTCTCAACAGCCACACAAGGGGGAAACCTCATGTTCTCAGTGTCCCATCATCCTCTCTCTCTGACTCCCACATCCTGACTAGGTCATGGTCATGGTCATGGAATCTTCCTGACCTTATATCTGATGTATTTCTTAATCTGTCTCTGCTTCCATCTTCTCCACCGTAATCCAGGCTATCATCGCTCACTCTTAACCCACTTCACTGCTCTTAGCCTCAATCCTTTCCAAACCCAGTCCCCTCAGTTCCTGACTGATCATGTAGCATCTAAATCTGACTTTGTCTCTGCTGCTTGGAGTTCTTCAAAGACTCCCTATTTCTAGGAATATGATTTATCACGTAACATCCAACCCTAACACACACACAGACACACAGCTTTAGAAACACTAAAACCGAAACTGGCCCCTGAATAACCTATGCTTATTCTAATCCTCATGCCTTTCCACATTACTTGCCCCTTGACAAGAGAGTGCTCATACCTATGCTCCATCCTTTTCTTCCAAAGCAACTCACATATCACTTTCTCTGAGACAAGTTCTTGACTCTCCCTAAGACCATCTGTCTAAAATAGAACTGGTTGATCCTTCATGTGTGTTGTATATCCTCACAAATTATTAGTAACAGCAGCAGCAGCAGTAAGAATACAGTCACCACTACCATAATAACCATCTCCACATTATTTATGCATCCCCTTTTGTATTCTTTTTTTTTTCTTTTTTTGGAGGTTTTTTTGCTATAGGGCGCATGCACTTACCAGAAAGACAGAGAGAGACAGAGAGACAGAAAGCGAGAAATCACTCCCCGGGAGGTTGGGGGATGGCCACACCACAATCCCTTCTCCTCTATTCTCCTCTCGGGATCTTGGACACGCATGCACATGCGCCCAGCGTGAGTTTAAGCCACTGGGTCCAGGACTCGAATCATGGTTGACTACATGGGAGTCCAGCGATATAGCCATTATGCTAACTACTGGTCCCCATCCCTTTTGTATTCTAATGTTATGGGAGACACCAATAGAATAGTTCTCACAGCAGACCATACTCATTTTGTTATTTTATAATTTTTGTCAGAGGGTATATGTGCTTACTAGAGAGAGAGAAAGCAAGAAATGACACACATATACATACACATACACAACCCCCTCCTCCCTCTCTCTTCGAAGGAGGATGGCCACACTGCAGTCCTTTCTCCTCCATTCTCCTCTAGGGATCTTGGACATGCAAGCACACATGCCCAGCAAGAGTTTCAAGCCACTGGGCCTGGGACTCGAATCATGGTCAACTACGTGGGATTCCAGTGACATAACTGCTACACCACCTACAGCACTCTTAGCATGTTTTTCAAGTCACCATGTCTAGGACTTGAACCACATGGTCAGCCATTTGAGATCTAGCTCCCTTAAATACCAAGCCACGGGCTGCCCTAGACCACACTCATTTACTCTCTTGTCCATTTCTTCCCCTGGACAGTGAGTGATGTGAGGACAGGGACTGTCCTCTATTCACCTTTGCTGCCATAACACAGTACCTGGTACACAACAGGTGCTGATGAATATTTGCTAAATAAAGAAATGAATGACTTCGAGCTCTGACTTCAAAGTTTTGCAGCTTTTGGAAAATTCCACAGTTTAGGCAGCTGCTCCTGTCCTCTGTGCAAATAGGCAGTTTATCAATCCAAAGGCTGGCAGCAGATTTGCTGAGCTGCACTCAGTTCTCAGGCTTTTTCCCAGCGCAGTCCCTCCACTCAAGTGGAAGCCACATCTGCCTCTCTTGATAGGGGCTTCTGCCAGGAAACTAGGAAAGGCTCCATACATCCCTACCATTTCTAATGCTATTTCAAAACCAAATTCAGAAGCAATGGTGATATTTTTTGCCCTTAAGAACAAGACAACTTGGTTGACATAATAAGGTTAAAAAAGAAACAAACAAACAAAAAACCCTCGCACTGCTTTTCCTTTCAGCTGAATGAAAATAAAATCCCCAATCTCCTGGTTCCAGCTGGCAGGCCTCTGGACTCTCAGCTTCTGAGAAGAGGAGCGGAAAGATCAGTTCTTAGCAGCTGAGAACTTATTTTAGGCTGAGCAGCTGGTGGAGAAATGGCTGGCAGCAAAGAATCTCCCCAGCAAAGAGTGTAGGGGACCTGACACTGTCTGGGCAGAGCAGCCCTGTCCAGGTCTGGGCAGTCCACCTTCATGCTGGCATCGACCGTCTCAGAGCAAAGGCAAACCCAGCAGCCAAGACTTCCGAGGGACACCTGGAGGAGAAAAGGGTGCTCTGCCCACCAAAACAGAAGCTCTGAGGAACTTCACTGCTGGACTCAGGAGAAAAAAAAAAAAAAAAAAAAAGCTCTTTTGGAAATGACCTTTTGCTCTAAAGCTGAGACTAGGACTAGTGGGAGGAATTACATAAAGGAAGAATTTAGCCCTTTCATTAATGAAACGCTTCCTAAATTATAGGTCGCTGATAATGGGATGGCTTGCCCCAGAACGCTCAGATATGGTCTGACTGATAGTTTGCCAGAAATTTGGTAGGAAGGATCCCTAGACTGAAGAGAACCTAAAAGTTTTCACCTTCAAGTTATAAACCCCATTGGTGACCAGTTAGGAGTGGATGAATGTTATTATGGTGGACAGTCAACTAAACAATAGAAACCAACATTTTAATAGATTCCGAAGTGGGTTTTTACATTAAATTACACATTTGTCAGTTTTCTCTGATTAAAACCACAGAGTAATTGACCAGTCTTCCTTATTTTGCACTGAGACTACACTACATTTTACAATGTTGATATTATAGCCCAAGTTCAAGGCGTTCACATTAACACAAGAGGGAATAGAGGGCCTCTAAAACAAGCTTTTATGATGGACTCACTTCTTTACTTCTTTTTTTCTTTTTTGGCAGTTTCAGACAATGGGAATAAAAAGCCCTAAAGTGTGAGAATACAAAACGTTCTTCAAGAAAGCTTCAGTCCAGATATCTAATAATCCGAAAACATCCTTGTGTTTAATGTGGAATATTTTTAAACAGAAATCTAAAGCAAGAGAACGTGAAGTAGGTAGAAAACAAAATGGTTTTCACTTGTACAGACTCCCAGTTCAAACTCAGATGACCTGTGGTGCCAGGTCCTCCGTTACTTAGTACGGATGGAGACATGAAAGATGTGACCCCTTTTTCCCAAGGGCCTCTGAGAAGCACACTGAAGCCTGGGCCAGTAAACACTCCCAGGAAGTTCATGGAGCTCATATTCCAGTGTCATACACAGCGGGCTGGATGGACCTCTTCTTCTACCAGCATCCCTACCGCCCAACCCCATGGATTCTGTGTAGGTCGACAAGTTTTTCTCCTGGCTACTTTTATTTCAAGTGAGCTCAACTGATGCAGCACTTACTGAGCCTCTGCAAAGTACAAGGGGCAATGTGGGGCCTTTCGAGGAGGAGGACTCAAAGGGGGATAGCTTCCAAATATTTTTCTACTGGATTGTTATACTTCTGCTTTATTCCACTAGCATTCGAGAAAGTTTCTGTGTTGCTTACAGAAGTTTCTGAGACTGGATAAATGTAAAAGAGAAAGAGAGAGATTTGACTCATGATTCTGGTCATGTGGAAGGTCCAAAGGCATCACAAAATGGCCACGGGCAGGATCTGGAGGACAGCTGTCCATAGGTTTCTGCCCATTATGATCTCCTTTCCCCCTTTATAAATGTATAGCAAAACACAATCATAGGGCTCTGCCATGATGATCTTATCACACCCAAGGACCACACCCTGGGAAACCACGAAGGGCTTTCCACTCAACATCCTTGCACTACAACCTAGTTCCGACATAGGATTTTTTTTTTTTTCTGGGCAGGGTGGGGCGGGGCGGGGGGGGGTTCATTTAAACTATAGCAGATGACTTACAGCAAGAAAACAGGACCAGAGGAGATATACATTCTTGGAGAAGGTCAAACTGGGAGGTGAAGGTAGAATGCCTGCCCATGGGTCACAGAGTCCTACATAACTGCTAAATTAGGGGCCCAGATTTGACTATATGGATGAATAGGACATAATCTCCCAGCTGTCTGGGGATGGAGAATAACCCATATATGGGTTTCCAGAGTATAGAAGCCTAGAGTCCCCTACACAGTGGATGCAGTGAATACTCACTCTATGGATGGTGACCCATGGTATCACCCAAGGGGTTGTGCTCGCAGTGCAGACATGACACTGAATGAGGCTGGGAGGCTCAGGGAAGGCTTTACTTAAGAGGTTTAATCTAAGTTGGGTTACTTCAGTGAGACTGCCAAGAACCTCCAAGACACTAATCACTATTGCCATCTCAGTTTAGAAGCCATTCTCTAGATCCTCAACTACAAAAGTCTTGTGCAATTTCATTCACTGAATGAGCCCAAGGTCCTAAATGAACATATGGTCTTACTAAAGAAGAAGGAGAAAGCAGTAGCAGCATTTTGAAGGGCAGCTACTTTGGATAAAGAGACAAAATCACTGAGCAATCAAAAATGTGTCATCCCAGACAAGCCCCAGAACATAGTGATCATGTACAGGGCATGGGGAGCTGGAGCCCTCATGGCCAACTGGCTCAAATCTCAGCTCCAGTGACTTGACAAACATGCAGAGAACAAGTGCCTGCATGCTCGACATCCTCATGGGAAGAAGAAATAGAAGAAAAGGGATTGTGGCATAATCACATCCCATTGAGGAGTTTGCTCTCTCTCTCTCTCAACTGTATGTTCCCTCTGGCAACTAAATAAAATAAAATTTGTCATCCTTCCATAAAGTTCTAAACTAGAAATATCTTCGATCCACACCTAAGTCATTACACTCTGAGGAAACTGAAACAATCTATAATCTTGTGCCCAAGAAGTCAAACAGCCAGAATGCACTCAGGGGGTCACAATGCAAGTGCTCAGTGCACGATCTTCAAAAATGCACTTTCAATCCCTTATCTGCTATGATGATTTTCTGGTTCCCCTCCCAATAGTATTTTCCTTTAATGATGCTGCCTCTTATCACACTGAAGTTTCTCATATAGGAAAATAAGTTATTGAAATGTTCCATCTTCTTTCATTGAAATGTAGCATTTTCTTTCAGAACTCTTGCCACTCAACATGTAAATAAAAAAGGAGTGGGAGGGAAGAGGACTTCAGAAGTGAAGAAACAGATTCATCTGAAGAATAGCAGCACTGGCTAAGGGCACGAATGGTTTCCTCCTGAAGGGCTGGTACTTGAACCAAGGACAGATACCACTGGTAACAATAACAGCAGGGCCAACAGTCTGGGTACCAATAAGAAGTCAAAACATAGGAAGAAAAGAAAAATGACATTACAAAGGCAAAGAAGGTGTGGGCAAGCCTCAAAGTAAGGAGTAGCTAGCCTGAGAGATGAAAGGCTGCCACTAAGGGCTCTTGTGGGAGGGGAAGTGAGCCCCATTAGCGATGGATGATCCCCACAGAAATTGTGCCAAAGTGTGCACAAGACATTGCCCACTGGAGTTTGACCCCACTTGGAGGGTTATGCGAAGAATGATAGAAACAGGAATCTTTGTGAAATGCCATTTCTGATTTCAGCTTTTGTAGAGAATGAGGCTGTGTGCATAAGGTCACCACTTAATATTTTCACTGAAGACATTTGCCTCTGAAATCCACAGAGGATGTAGGGGATGTATAGCCTAGACAACTTCTCCATTTCTCAGGGAGAAATGACGCTGAAAGCTACTCTCGTCAGTAAGCAAATGTATTTTCACTGCATTTCAGGAAGGACTTCCAATTGTCCTGTGTTAAAAAGTCATTTCTAGAGCCAGGGTGGACCTGGGGTCAGGGGACATACAGACATTATCAGCATTTCACTAGAAATGGAGGAAGGGTGACAAAAATCCTCTCACTTCGAGCTTGCATGACTCATACATTATGCTGCCTGGACTTTGCAAAAGACTCCAAACTGGCTTCCAGCTCCAGTGTTGCCTCCTCTGCTCTATCCATCTGGCCTCTGTTAGGCTGGTTCTTCTAAAATGCATACCCAGCCATGTCATTCCCCTGCTGTTTCCTCTGCATTTGGACCAAACTTTCCAGCCTCAGTTCCTCCACTCCCCATCCACTTTCCATGCACATTCTGTGACTCTCCCACAGTGAACATGGTGCTCCCCAGAACCGTGCTTGTTTAGGTGTGATGCCTTCTCCCTAGAAAGCATTCCCTCTCCCTTCCCCATGTAGCCCTTTGTAAATGTGTGTGCTTGGGCCTGTGCATGTGCATACACACACATACACACACACTCTTTTCCACTGGCTATTAAAACCCTACTCAGGGCCAGCAGGTGGCATGGTGGTTGAGGTGCTGGACTCCTGCATGGCCAGTTCAAGTCCTGGACATGGAAGCTTGCTCTCTCAATTTCCGTTTCTCTCTCTGGTCAAATTAAAAATAACAACAACAAATAATAATTAAAAACCTACTCATCTTCCAAGACATACTCTTCAGTAGAAACATCCTTTATAAGGCCTTTCCTGATTCCCAGGTCAGAACTTAGTGCTCCCTTCTACATATTCTTTTTTTTTTTTTTTTTTGAGAGATTTTCACTGTAGGGCATGTGCGCTTGCCAGACAGACAGAGAGAGACATAGAGACAGAAAGCGAGAAATCAACCCCCAGGGGGAATGGTCACGCCGCAATCCCTTCTCCTCCATTCTCCTCTCAGGATCTTGGGCACGCACGCACACACGCCCGGTGTGAGTTTTAAGCCACCGGGTCCAGGACACAAACCACGGTCGACTACGTGGGAGTCCAGCGACATAGCCATTACACTAACTGCTGGTTCCCCCTTCTACATATTCTTAAACCATCCTGAGCCCAGCTTTGTTGTGGCACTTATTAGTTGGGTGGCTGAGTGTGAGTTGGCTTCTGTCGTTTGATTGTAAGTCAGGTTGAGATCAGTTAGTGAGTTTAAATTATTGTTATTGGTCCCACCACCTGTACCCATTGCCCAAGGCTGTGTCAGAAACAAAATAGAGACTTAGTCCCTGGATGAATTAATTGAATTGAAAATGTAATTGTGGGATCAGTTCCATGGCACACTGGTCCAAAGCAGCGTTCAAGAGAAGCCAGATCCCAAATGGCATCTGGGGTTCAGATCTCTGGCCTGGTCAGCATAGAACATGCCGAGCATACAGGTAAGCACTCAGGATCTGATGGGCTAGAGGACTGGAGGAAGGGGATCGTGGCAGGACCAAACTCTGTGGAAGTAGGTCACCTCTTTCTCTCTTGTACACATGCATGTGCTCAATCATGAATAAATTTTTTTTAATTAAAAATGTAATTGTAGGTCACTGATTTACAATGAATAAGTATGGACAATATTGAAGGAAATCTAGATCCGGCCATGTGAGGTCCAACCACCTTAATCAGCACCCCACTTTTTCTCTCTCTCTGATGAGGGCACGTGCCCTATAGCAAAATTTTAAAAAAGAAAAAGAAATCCAGATCCAATTCAAACAAATCGTCATCACAGTATTAGGTAGAAACTGCACAAGCCAACTCATATTTGCCCTTCCCCAAGTCATGCTAACCCAAAGATTTAGAGAATAACTGATGCCCCTTGCTAGAGCAGAGTGTAGAGAGGAAGCAACCCTTGTTAGTTGAGAGCAGGGAGAGGCGCTCTATCAGGTGAGAGGAATCAACCCTATCTCTTAGCAGCTGGGAATGTCTGTATGTCCCCTGACCCTGGGCCCACGCTGGCGCTAGAAATTACCTTTTAACACAGGACAATTGGAAGTCTTCCCTGAAATCCAGTGAACATATGTTTGCTTACTGATGAGAGTAGTTTTCAGCTTCACTCCCTGAGAAATGCAGAAGCCCTCAAAGCTGTACATGCCCCACCTTTTGTGGGTTTCAGAGGCAAATGTCTCCACAGCTTCTCTGAGCCTTGGTTTCCCCATTTGTGAAATGGATGTGAGATTTCTACCAATCTGAAAAGCTGCTTAGAGAATCAAATGAGATAGTATATAATGAAGGGCTTTAAGAGCTAAAAATGGGTTAGTCAAACAAGAAAACCTAGGTAACTGCATTGTAAATCCTAAGCAACTTTTCCTTGTTAAAATAACATTAATCCCAAGGCCAGCAGGTGGCGTGATGATTAAGGTACTGGACTCCCACATAGCTGACTGGAGTTTGAGTCTTGCACCTGTCGGAGATCTTGCTTTCTCACTCTCCCTTGCTCTCCCTTTTTCTCTTTCTCTCTGGTGAGCACATGTGCCATACAGAAAATTAAATAAAAATTCAGTAATTCTTAAAAAGAAAGAAATGCGAATCCCTTTTGCTACATGGTGTGAAGGAAGGATGGGATAGGAAGGGTGGGGCGTTCTATTTAAGGCTTAATGCCCCTATGGTGGTAACAGATCTAATACTTTGAGACAGCTTCTTTGAAAATGCAAACTATTATCCTTGGGGAACACAGGATTCTGGCTGCCAAAAGTCCAGATGCATGGTGTTAACTTCGGTTCCTCTGCAATAAAAACACTGAATGGCCTCTTTTGATTTTGGAAAGATCAATGAGAAAAACTCATCATGACAAGGAAGATGAAGAGATTGATAAAATTTTGAAATGTTATTATAGATACACGAGATGCAGATGCCATCTAGCTAATAGTGCTGACTAGCTCCCTAGAAACCCAGTGCTAACAATGGTCATGTTGTCCTAGGGTCTCTCCCATCTGCCATTGACTTTGGCACAGACCACAGGACGTTCACACTGCGCAAGAACTATGGGCTGACTGTTACACTGCCTGGAGACCACGTTAGCACACACGTGGCATTTTCATGCCAGCCCTATACACGTACATGCATGGAATCTGC